ATGGGGCTCTTTTTGAGACAGGGTTTCACTATTCAGATTCAATTTCTAGGACCCACACATACACACAAAAAAAAAAAAAGAAAACCAGAAACAAAGGGACAGTAGGTAGCCTCACCAATTTAAAATTGCTTCACAGAAAGTTTCCCAGCTTGTTTTTGAGTGCAACTCCAGAGAAGTCCAAGGCTCAGAGAAGGAAAGTAAATTATCTAAGGTTACACAGCCCAGGTTTGACAGAGCTGGTATAAGACTCAGGTTTGCTTGCCTGCCAAGCACAAGGTCCTGAGTTCAAACCCTGGTACCGCCAAAAAAAAAAAAAAAAAAAAAAAAAAGACTCAGGTTTGTCTGGCCCATGACAGAACTTTCTCCATCACAGAAGGATTCTGTTTGTTCTCATCAATCTTTTGTCCAAAATTCTCAGTGGAAATCACTTCCCTGTGCCTGGGACACAGGAGAGCCAAACTGGAGGTAGACACTGGTGAACTGCATTGACCCTGGAGTTAGAGGGCATCAGCTGCCCAGTTCCAGGCAGGATGGGAGGGGCAGGCGGAGCAGGGACCAGCAGGGCTCCTACCACCTACCCAGCGCTCTGCTTTACCACCAGAGGGGTTTGAATTCTGGAGCCTGGACGTGAATGGCGGCGATGAATGGAAAGTGGAGGCCCTGTCCCGGGAGCAGAGGAAGGAGTTTCCCAACGACCGCGTCAAGAAATACTTTGTGACTTCATATTAGTAAGATCGGGGACACAGAGCACAGGGGGAAGGCGAGCCCCAGTCCCTGCCCACCTTGGGAGGGACAGTCAGAGGCCCCGGGTCCTGGGGGTGACCCCAGCCCCCTTCCACCCACCCCCAGCACCTGCCTCAAGTCCCAGGTGGTGGACCTCAAGGCCGAGGGGTACTGGGAGGAGCTCATGGACACAATGCGGCCGGACATCGAGGTCAGAGACTGGTGAGTGACAGGGTGAAGGTCTGGGGGCAGCTATTGCTCAGGGCCCCTAACCCCATTCTGCCCCCCACCCCACAGGTTCGCAGCCAGGCCAGACTGCGGGTCAAAGTACCAGCTGTGCGTCCAACTGCTGTCGTCTGCTCATGCACCTCTGGGGACCTTCCAGCCAGACCCAGCGACGATCCAACAGAAAAGTGATGCCAAATGGAGAGAGGTAGGTGGCCTCAAGGGGCAGGGGCAGCATCCCCAAGGGGCACAGCAGCGAGGCGGGTCTGGTATCAGGTTCCAAGCTCTACCACTTCTCCCAGGGGCTTCATCCACACAATGGAAAGAAAGGTGCTTCCCTCGCAGCACGATGCCAGATGCAAAAAGCATTCAGAAAGTGGGGTCCGGTCACACACACACACACACACACACGCACGCACGCATGAAGGTTGATTTTTACTAATGACTAATATCGAGGGCTACTACAGGTGTCCAACCTACAGTAACTTCACTTGTGATATTTTGGCTTCACAATGGATTTATCAGCTATGATCCCACCTGACAGGAGCATCTGGACTTACAAGAGTTTCATTTAGGATTTTGTAAAAGCCAGATTTGTTTATCAGGGCATGGGGTGTACTGCCACTTACAGTGTTCTCAACAAATGATGGTTGAGGATTCAATTATGACTTGAGGAACATCTGCCTTTACCAAACTGGGGTCACCAATATTGTCCTTTAAGGCTAGATACAGAAATCTTAGGCTGTGCGGGCTGTCCTATCTCTGTCACAGCTACTTGGCCTTTACCTCTGCTGTGAAAGCAGCTGTAGTCGGCATGCAAGCCAGCACACAGGTGGCTGTGTTGCAGTAAAACTTTATTTATAAAAATAGGCAGTGAAGGGCTGGTGAGATGGCTCAGTGGTCTAAAGCACCTACTTAGAACAAGCTTAGTAAAGCACAGGGACCACGGTTCAATCCCCCAGCGCCACATGCCAGCCAGCCCCGCCCCCTGGTGGGGTGAGCTGGCCACACATACACACATACACACACATAAATAATAAAAAATAAAAT